CGTTTTTTCCCTCAAGACTGCTTTGGCTATTTGGGGTCTTTTGTGTCTCCATACAAATTTTAAGATTTTTTGTTCTAGCTCTGTAAAAAATGCCACTTGTAATTTGATAGGGATTCCATTGAATCTGTAGATTGCTTTGGGTAGTAGAGTCATTTTCTCAGTATTGATTCTTCCAATCCAAGAACATGGTATATCTCTCCATCTGTTTGTGTCATCTTTGATTTGTTTCATCAGTGTCTTATAGTTTTCTGAGTACAGGTCTTTTACCTCCTTAGGTAGGTTTATTCCTAGGTATTTTATTATTTTTGTTGCAATGGTGAATGGGATTGTTTACTTAATTTCTCTTTCTAATCTTTCATTGTTAGCGTATAGGAATGCAGGAGATTTCTATACATTAATTTTGTATCTTGCAACTTTGCCAAATTCATTGATTAGCTCTAGTAGTTTTCTGGTGGCATCTTTAGGATTCTCCACGTATAACATCATGTCATCTACAAACAGTGATAATTTTACTTCTTGTTTTCCAATTTGTGTTCCTTTTATTTCTTTTTCTTCTCTGATTGCCGTGGCCAGGACTTCTAAAACTATGTTGAATAATAGTGGCAAGAGTGGACATTCTTGTCTTGTTCCTGGTCTTAGAGGAAATGCTTCCAGTTTTTTACAATTAAGAATGTTTGCTGTGGGTTTGTCGTATATGGCCTTAATTATGGTGAGGTAGGTTCCCTCTATGCCTACTTTCTGGAGAGTTTTTATCATAAATGGGTGTTGAATTTTGTCAAAAGTTTTTTCTGCATGTATTGAGATGATCATATGGTTTTTATTCTTCAGTTTGTTAATATGGTGTATCACATTGATTGATTTGCATGTATTGAAGAATCCTTGCATCCCTGGGATAAATCCCACTTGATCATGGTGTATAATCCTTTTAATGTGTTGTTGGATTCTGTCTGCTAGTATTTTGTTGAGGATTTTTGCATCTATATTCTTCAGTGATATTGGTCTGTAATTTTCTTTTTTTGTAGTATCTTTGTCTGGTTTTGGTATCAGTGTGATGGTGGCCTCACAGAATGAGTTTGGGAGTGTTCCTTCCTCTGCCATTTTTTGGAAGAGTTTGAGAGGATGGGTGTTAGCTCTTCTCTAAATGTTTGATAGAATTCACCTGTGAAGCCATCTGGCCCTGGACTTTTCTTTGTTGGAAGATTTTAAATCACAGTTTCAATTTCACTGCTTGTCATTGGTCTGTTCATATTTTGTTTCTTCCTGGTTTGGTCTTGGAAGCTTATACCTTTCTAAGAATTTGTCCATTTCTTCCAGGTTGTCCATTTTATTGGCAGAGAGTTGCTTGTAGTAGTCTCTTAGGATGCTTTGTTTTTCTGCAGTGTCTGTTGTAACTTCTCCTTTTTCATTTCTAATTTTATTGATTTGAGTCCTCTCCCTCTTGATGAGTCTGGCTAAAGGTTTATCAATTTTGTTTATCTTCTCAAAGAACCAGCTTTTAGTTTTATTGATCTTTGCTATTGTTTTCTTTGTTTCTATTTCATTTATTTCTGCTCTGATCTTTATGATTTATTTCCTTCTACTAACTTTGGGTTTTGTTTGTCCTTCTTCCTCTAGTTGCTTTAGGTGTAAGGTTAGATTGTTTGAGATTTTTCTTGTTTCTTGAGGTGAGCTTGTATGGTTATAAACTTCCCTCTTAGAACTGCTTGTGCTGCATCCCATAGGTTTTGGATCGTCATGTTTTCATTGTCATTTGCCTTGAGGTATTTTTTTATTTCCTCTTTGATTTCTTCAGTGATCTCTTGGTTATTTAGTAACATATTGTTTAGCCTCCATGTGTTTGTGTTTTTTAAGTTTTTTCTCTATAATTTATTTCTAATCTCATAGCATTGTGGTCAGCAAAGATGCTTGATATGATTTCAATTTTCTTAAATTTACAGAGGCTTGATTTGTGACCCAAGATATGATTTGTCCTGGAGAATGTTCCATGTGCACTTGAGAAGAAAGTGTAATCTGCTGTTTTCAGATGGAATGTCCTATAAATATCAGTTAAATCTACCTGGTCTATGTGTCATTTAAAGCTTGTGTTTCCTTATTAATTTTCTGTCTCGATCATCTGTCCGTTGGTGTAAGTGAGGTGTTAAAGTCCCCCACTATTATTGTGTTACTGTTGATTTCCTCTTTTATAGCTGGTAGCATTTCCCTTATGTATTGAGGTGCTCCTATGTTGGGTGCATATGTATTTATAATTGTTAGATGTTCTTCTTCGATTGATCCCTTGATCATTATGTAGTATCCTTCCTTGTCTCTTGTAACATTCTTTATTTTAAAGTCTATTTGCATGGAATATCTTTTTCTATCCCTTCACAGTCTGTATGTGTCCCTAGGTCTGAAGTGAGTCTCTTGGACACAGCATATATATGGGTCTTGTTTTTGTATCCATTCAGCAAGCCTGTGTCTTTTGGTTGGAGCATTTAATCCATTCACGTTTTAGGTAATTATCGATATGTATGTTCCTATTACCATTTTCTTAATTGTTATGGATTTGTTTTTGTAGGTCCTTTTCTTCTCTTGTGTTTCCCACTTAGAGAAGTCCTTTTAGCATTTGTTGTAGAGCTGGTTTGGTGATGCTGCATTCTCTTAGCTTTTGCTTATCTGTAAAGCTTTTTTTTTTTTTTATTCCTATCAAATCCAATATAATCAACTGAAAAATTTATAAAATAATTATTTAACATATAAAATGTCACTAGGAATAAAATAATCAGTTTTGGCTTTTCATCTGTTCTCTTTTTTAAAATTTTAAAATTTTATTTATTTTTTTATACAGCAGGTTCTTATTAATCATCAATTTTATACACATCAGTGTATACCTGTCAATCCCAATCACCCAATTCATCACACCACCACCCCACCTCCCTGAGTTGTCTGTAAAGCTTTTGATTTCTCCGTCAAATCTGAATGAGATCCTTGCCAGGTAGAGTAATCTTGGTTGTAGGTTCTTCCCTTTCATCACTTTAAATATATTGTGCCAGTCCCTTCTGGCTTGTAGAGTTTCTGATGAGAAATCAGCTGTTAACCTTATGGGAGTTCCCTTGTATGTTATTTGTCGTTTTTCCCTTGTTGCTTACAATAATTTTTCTTTGTCTTTATTTTTTTTCAGTTTGATTACTATGTGTCTCAGCGTGTTTCTTCTTGGGTTTATCCTGCCTTGGACTCTCTGCTTTCTGGACTTGGGTGGCTATTTCCTTTCCCACATTAGGGAAGTTTTCGACTATAATCTCTTCAAATATTTTCTCAGGTCCTTTCTCTCTTCTCCTTCTGGGACCCTTATAATGTGAATGTTGTTGTGTTTAATATTGTCCCAAAAGTCTCTTAGGCTGTCTTCATTTCTTTACATTCCTTTTTCATTTTATTTTTAGACAACCTACATGACATGTTTTTTTATTTTCCTCAAAAACAGTGCCTCCGCTCCAAACAAATCAACATCAAAATGAAGAGCTCAAGTTGACATCAGTCCCGTTTGTCTAAGTCCTGGTTTTATGTGGATGAAAAGCAGCAGCCAGCCAGTTATGATGAGCAGGTGATAGATCCAAACAGCCAAATTTGTTAACATTTTTCAATTTCTAGACCATCCTTAAAGAAAATCATATTTGGTATCACACAATCCTCACAGTAGTCCAGCAGAGCAACCATGCCATCTGGATTCATGTTTTCACCAATAAAGAACTGATAGTTTTTGAAATTAGCAAGGATGTGCTTGATTTGTTCTGCAGTCCCTGTCATAAAAGGTTTTACTCTTTCTGGTCTCTGTTCTTCAAGCTTCCCTTTGATTGACTTCATGTAATCCTTGATGTAGTTCTTGTAGGCTTCTTTTGTGAAGCTGGTTTCTTGCACGTGATTGTTCATGACAGTATCCACACCAGTGATTACTGTGCTTTCAGTACCTTTGCCCTCAGGGCCTTCAGAGGAGGCATTTCCACCAATGAGTGAGTCATCAATGTTACCCTCTCTCCTACTGACCATCTTCCCCTCCACCTCCAGACACAGCCTATCCGCAATCTCCCGGATCTTGTACATGTCAGGGAACATCTCATCATGGTTGATGAGGCCCCGGTAGATGATCATGATGGTGACTGGAGGGAGACAACGGTGGCACTAGCTTAGTAGGAGACCGGAGCTCAGAGAGAGCGCAGTGCAGCAGAAGCGGCACTTGCGGGAGGGGGGAGTGGGTGGAAAAGCCATTCTTTTTTCTTTATTCTGTTCCAAGGCAGTGAATTCCACCATTCAGTCTTCCAGGTCACTTATCCGTACTTCTGCCTCAGTTATTCTGCTATTGATTCCTTCTAGTGTATTTTTCATTTCAGTGATCGTATTGTTCATCTCTGTTTGTTAATTCTTCTAGGTGTTTGTTCTTTAATTCTTCTAGGTCTTTGTTAAACATTTCTTTCATCTTCTCAATCTTTGCCTCCATTCTTTTTCCGAGGTCCTGGATCATCTTCATATCATTATTCTGAACTCTTTTTCTGGAAGGTTTCCTATCTCCACTTCATTTAGTTGTATTTCTGGGGTTTTATCTTGTTCCTTCATCTGGTACAAAGTCCTCTGCCTTTTCATTTTGTCTATTCTTCTGTGAGTGTGGTTTTCCTTCCACAGGCTGCAGAAGTTCTTCTTGCTTCTGCTGTCTGCCCTCTGGTGGATGAGGCTCTATGTCATTCTTTTAAAGGTTGTGCCCTGCCCCTTCTCTCCTGTTTCAAAACCAGCAAGGACAGGGACTTCCCTGGTGGCACAGTGGTTAAGACTCTGTGCTCCCAATGCAGGAGGCCCAGGTTTGACCCCTGGTCTGGGAGCTAGATCCCACAAGCATGCAGCAACTAAGCGTTAGCATGCCACAACTAAGGAGCTGGTGAGCTGCAGCTAAGACCCAATGCAACCAAATAAATAAATATAAAACACACACACACACACACACACACACACACACACACACACACACACGAGCTGTTTTAAAAAAAAGAACCAGAAAGGACAAAGTCTGTGAGGGGGGAATGTGCTTGTGTGTTCTGGGAATAGCAAAGAGGCTGGTTTGGCTAGAGCCTGGTAAGCCAGCAGGGAGCAGTAGATTGAGATCCAAAAATTGGAGACGACCCTACAACGGTAGAGACCTTGAGGTTGATTCTACTCTGAGAGATGGTAAGCATTGGAGCGTTTTACAGAGTGGTGTCATGATCTGAATTTACATTTTTAAAAGATTGCTCAGGCAGCTGTGTGAACAGACTGTATGAGGAGTGGAGGAGCTTGGGAAGGTAAGGAAGCTGGAGACCGGTCAGAAGGTGAGAGATGATGTGGCTTGGACCAAGGAGGCAGCAGTGGAGTTGATGAGAAGCAGTTAGATTTTAGATATATTTTGAAAATCTACCTGACAGGAAACACTGTGGATGTTGGGTGTGAGAGAAAGAGATGAGTCAAGGATGACTCTAAGGTTTTTGGCCTGAGCAACTGGAAGACTGAAATACCATATACATGAAAGAAATCAGAAAATGGCTGGGGGAGGGCAGGTTGGAAGCCATGGTGGAAATTTTACTGGTTAGAGGCTTGAACGAACTTTCTGGAGTGATGGGGATGTTCTCTCATTTAGAGTGGTGGTTGCCTGGGGGTAAACACTGTAAAAACTCAGTGAACTGAATTTTTAGTATCTCTGCATTTTATTTTATATAAATTATACCTAAACACACACACACACATACACACACACTTTTATTGATAACGGGGAAGACTTAAGAAAAAAGGAGTTTATTTTAAAGGTTACACATGAGAGAGAATGGGATCCATATTGGAAACTCGTTGAAATTGATCCTCCCATCTCTCTCATGGGGGTCCCTGCATCTCCCCGTGCTTCAGCATCTTCATCACTTTCTCTTTTTTTGTTAATAATTTTATTTTATTTCATTTATTTATTTTTTTTTTATTTTACTTTTTTTGTCCGCCTTGGGTCTTCATTGCTGCGTGTGGGCTTTCTCTAGTTGTGGCGAGTGGGGGCTACTCTTGTGGCTACTCTTTCATTGTGCTGCGCGGGCTTATCATTGCGGTGGCTTCTCTTGTTGTGGGGCATGGGCTGTAGGCATGCAAGCTTCAGTAGTCGCAGCACGCGGGCTCAGGAGTTGTGGCTCATGGGCTTAGTTGCTCTGTGGCATGTGGGATCTTCCCAGACCAGGGATCAAACCCATGTCCCCTGCATTGGCAGGTGGATTTTTAACCACTGCGTCACCAGGGAAGTCCTTCATCACTTTCTTAAACTGTGACAATCAACAAAACAAGCTGATTTGTAGTATTTGCTGATTTCTGTGACATGAATATTCCCACCATATTTCAAGCCACAGGCTACATCAAGCTACAACATCATCCTTGGAGGCGGTAGATTGAAGTAGTGGAGAACACAGACTTCAGTGCAGGCAAGTTCTTTACCTCTCTGGGACTGTTTCCTCATCTGTAAAATGAGAAGGTGCTATTAATGCTGTCTCCATAGGGTTGTTATGAGGATTAAAGGAGTTAATATGTGGCATCTTGTACCTTTTAACTGTTAATAGCTCTGCTGTTAATTTACTGTGTGTCCTTGGGCAAGACTCTTCCTCTCTCTGCATCTTAGTTCCTGTATTTGTAAAACATAGAGGTTTTGTTATAAATAATCTTTGAAGTCCTTCCAGCTCTAGAAATCTTAGGGCCTTCTATGACTCCAGTTACAGAGAAATCTCAGCCTCCCTCTCTGGGTTTTAAGCTCTATTCCTGAAATCACAGGTACAAGGCACCTGAGTGGTGTGAGAGACAGCCAGGTAGATTCCAAAGTGGATTCAGTCTAAAGTGGAAAGTTAAAATTGTCAGGCTTGATCTCAGCCTGGGAAAACTCCTCCTGAGCCAAAAATTTCCAGCATTTGCGACTCTTTAACTGGCAGCTCCAGGTGCTGGTCAGTTTGAACTGCTTCATTTGGATGCCTGCCAGGAGCCTTTGTTTAGGAACTTTCTGATTCTCCCCTGCTAAGTAGGTACTGAAGGGAATACCTTTTTTTTCTTTTCTTTTCTTTGTTGTTTGGTTTTTAAAAAAATTTTATTTATTTATTTTTGGCTGTGTTGGGTCTTCGTTGCTGCACGCAGGCTTTCTCTACTTGCAGCGAGCGGGGGCTACTCTTCGTTGCGGTGCACGGGCTTCTCATTGTAGTGGCTTCTCTTGTTGCGGAGCACGGGCTCTAGGCGTGAGGGCTTCAGCAGTTGCGGCACGTGGGCTCAGTAGTTGTGGCTCGCAGGCTCTAGAGTGTAGGCTCACTAGTTGTGGCACACAGGCTTAGTTGCTTCGCGGCATGTGGGATCTTCCTGGACCAGTGCTCGAACCCCTGTTCCCTGCATTGGCAGGTGGATTCCTAACCACTGTGCCACCAGGGAAGTCCCTCTTTTCTTTGTTTTAATGGAGAGAAACAGTAATAAAAAGAAGAAAACAAATACAGAGAGAGACTAGGTTAATAGAAATAGATTAATAGAAGTAGAGAAAAAAACACCAAGAGAAAGAGATTTTTCCTACATTTTCTAACAAAAGAAGACAAATACAAACAGAGCTGAAGACAAAATAAGAGCTGATTCCTACCACAAGTCTGGAGAATTTCTCGGAAAGGATCATGTTTAAAATAAATACACATGCAGCACAGGTGGAGGTATTTCTTGCCTTTTCCTCTACCAACTCTTAAGTCTGAGGTAACTCCTGTAACCCCTACTCCCAAATGCCCAATGGAATAATTTTACATATTTTTCCATTCAGACCCATATTCTCCTGGTTAAATTCTGTAGGACCTACACTTATCACCTTAGAACCAAATATTCTAAACTGAAAAGTGACCTCAGAGCATACCTCCTCTCCCTGCAGTATTTTACATATGAAGAAACCAAGGCTCAGAGAGGTTGAGTAACTTGTCAAGGTCCCACAGACATGTGACAGAGCTAGGTTAGGTGGTAATTCATATATCTCAGTGGCACTTGTCCTATCTATGAGGGTCCCAGAAATAAACAGATGGATAATTGAGAGTTTAATAAAGGAAAAGCAACAAGAAATGATGCAGTATCCCAGGGCCAATGACAGTGGGAAACTTGATCACTATGGGACCTGAGGGGACAAAGGGAGGAAGCAGAGAGCGTATGAAAGGTGTCTGCAGAGACCCTGCTTTTAGGAAGGTGGGGTGTATGATGGGGAATAAACAATCTCACATCCCTCTTTTTCCCACTTTTAGCCTCCATTGGCTGAACCTAACTAGAAGCCAGAGGACAAGGAAGTCTGTTGATAAAAGACCAAACTGAGGCACTGAACAGGGAGGGTGGAAAGCAGATCTGGAGGCTACAAGGAAGCAACCTATCACAATTCTATTCACTGAAATTTCAAACAATGCTGTTCATGTCCCATAATTTGGCCTTAAAGTGTGCAACACAGCAAGTTGTCAGGAACATAAGATACAACAGGAGTCAAGAAAGCTCCAAGTTAGGACACTGAGCTGTCATATAGGGCTGGAAGCAGAAGACTAGCTGGGTGGATGGAAGTTTCCAGGGGCTGCTCTGCTCCTTAGCCCAGTGCCGAACCCACACAGACTTGGCGGAGAGCCTTTCAACAGCCCAGGCCCTGCCCTCAAGGAATCCAAGTCTAGTCTGCAAAGGGTGAGGCCTGACCGTAGATGACTCCTCCTGGAGACCTGCATGATGCTGATGGGCAGGGAAGACTTCTCCACCAGGGCGACTTCCTGGAGAATCAAAAGTGATGCCAACTAGGGCTTCCCTGGTGGCACAGTGGTTGAGAGTCCGCCTGCCGATGCAGGGGACACGGGTTCGTGCCCCCGTCCAGGAAGATCCCACATGCCGCGGAGTGGCTGGGCCTGTGAGTCATGGCCGCTGAGCCTGCGCGTCTGGAGCCTGTGCTCCGCAACGGGAGAGGCCACAGCAGTGAGAGGCCCGCGTACCGCAAAAAAAAAAAAGTTAAAAAAAAAAAAAAAGTGATGCCAACTATAGGAGAGAGGGGCTGGCGTCTCTGTCCTGGGACGTGTGAGGAGGTAGCTTGGTGGAAGCTCAGGGAGACCTAGGGAAACTTCTCCTTCCTCAGAATAAAGTTACTTCTGCAGGCATCTCCTGATTTCACAGTTCCTTTTGGCTGTATCCTGTCTCCTCCTCTCCCACTCTTATACCTCTCTTCCCTGAAGCCAAAGGAGTCCTGGGTGGAGTTAATAAGATTCTCAAAAGCAAGTTAAGCCAGTTCCTGCAGGCCTGAACATGTTCTGTTGAGGAGTAGCCCCTGCAGAAAACTACTGTCCCCAACTGTAGCCACAGTCAGCTACAAATAGTGCAGAAAGAGGGGTAAGAGCTCAGAGAAAACACAAATCGGCACCTGACTCCAAACATAGATGAACCCAAACTGGACCTGTAGATGCTGGGGCCTTGCCTGCAGGGCAGAGCTAATGCTCATCGTGCCCTAACCCTGGTCAGCAGTGGCCACTTCTAAAAACATCTCTTTCCTTGAGGCCTTGCTCCAATTCTACCAGCTCAGCTTCTAGCAGAGTTCTTAGAGAAGCTGCATCCCAACAATGACTCAAGGAGCCCAGCTTTCAGCTTCTCTCTCTAGGGTTGTTCAGGTCCCCTGTGTCCTAGGGAAAAGCCACACATGTCTCCCTCCGGCAGGAGCAGCCTGGCTAAGCCTCTCACCTCTCTGTGGTTAAAAGGGGAGGATGCAACCAGGAAGTGTAAAGGGGCCCCTAGTTCTAGCTTGGGTAAAGGCCTGGCTGGACGCTTGAAGGCTTGGATCCTTTTGTCCAAGTTAACTCCAGCTAGTTCCCATGCTCCTGGCTGTCCCATAGTCGCAACTATTTGGACTGAGTTTAAGTGAGGGAGGTTGGCCATCTTCCAGGGACTGTGAAATCTCAGCAGATGGCTCAGCTTGTTGGGAGCTCTACGAATGCTTCACAGTTGCGCCCTATTTCAAAGCACCTTCACATCCCTTATCGCAGAAGTTCACAATCAGCCCAGAGAGACTCAAACAGTCTACAGTCAAACAGCTGGCTAATGATTAGAGACAGGATACAACTAGGAACATCAACCTCAGATCCAGTGCTTTTTCTCCAAGCTGCCTCCTACCTAATTCCTCCAACCAATGCTCAGTTTATTGAATTTGGAGATGCCCTGGCAACATCCTGTTGTTCCTTGAACAGCAAGGTCTATCTGGCTTTAAACAACACACACACACACATACTTTTGAGAAATTGTGTGCATATATTTTTGTAAGTCAAATCTGTACATAAATGCATAGGGGAGCTTGGTTCAAGGATTGTCACTCTGAAAAGTTCATTATAGAAAACAAAACAAAAAGACCTCCTTTAAGACTTACATTACACTACAGCCCTGCCTACCTCTCCTCCCTCCCTTCTTAAAAAAATGTTTTGTGCATATCTTTGATCACACTCCATATGGAGTTTGTTTATACAGGGGTGGTGCCTCCAGAGGTTGGGAAGTAAGTTCTGGCTCCCCCTACTGGGCTCATGATGAATTCATTGGCCCAAAGGAATTTTCTCAGTCTCCCCAGAAGATTCTGGGGCTCTGGGGACGATCATGTTCCTGCCTGTCCTTGGAAAGACCCCGAAAAACAGGGCTCCCTGAGGAAGGGTGTGATCATAGAAGACTTTCTAAAAGAGTTAGGTCCTGAACTACACCTTGAAAGATTTTGACAGGAGGAGTTGGTGGTGAGCAATCTTGAGAAAGGGAAGTGCTGTGTGAATTGAGAGGATTGGATGAGCTGGCTGGCCTAAGCAGGATGTTTGTACCCCAGGAAAGGGAAGTGAGGAATTTTCGTTCTAGGATTTTTGAGCAAAGGAGCAATCAATATTCCCTCTCCTCCTTTATTACTAACTTCTTATTCACAACCAGTACATGTTGAAGAAAAACTGGGAGGGTGTATTTTAAGTGACACTACTAGAAAATACAGATAAGCAAAGGAATAAAAAAAATATCATTGAGGGACTTCCCTGGTGGTGCAGTGTGGTTAGGAATCCGCCTGCCAATGCAGGGGACATGGGTTCGAGCCCTGGTCTGGGAAGATCCCACATGCTGCGGTGCAACTAAGCCTGTGTGCCACAACTACTGAGCCTGCGCTCTAGAGCCTGTGAATCACAACTACTGAGCCTGTGTGCCACAACTACTGAAGCCCATGTGCCTAGAGCTCATGCTCCTCAACAAGAGAAGCCACCGCAATGAGAAGCCCGCGCACCACAACCAAGAGTAACCCCTGCTCGCCACAACTAGAGAAAGCCCACACGCAGCAACGAAGACCCAACGCAGCCAAAAATAAATAAATTCATTAATTTTAAAAAATCATTGAAACTCTGCTGCCAAGAGACCCACTACTGACATTCTAGTGATAACATTTTAGATTTTTCCTGTACCTAAATGTAGATACGTATGAATTTTACAAGAGAGCCTGCATTAGAAGCTGGCTTATAACTTTGTTAATTAATAATATATTCTATGTTATAATCATCCTATGTCACTACATATATATTTACTTGTTATATACCACTTTTAAAACTTTTATTATAAAAAAATTCTAACATTACATAATTAGAAATACTAGCATCATAAGCCCCCATATACCCATCTTGCAGCTTCAATAATTATAAAATTACCTCTTTAAAATAATCTAGGGACTTCTCTGGTGGCACAGTGCTTAAGAATCCACCTGCCAAGGCAGGGGACATGGGTTCGATCCCTGGTCCGTGAAGATCCCACATGCCGCGGAGCAACTAAGCCCGTGCGCCACAACTACTGAGCCCGCGCTCTAGAGCCTGTGAGCCACAATACTGAGCTTGTGGGCCTAGAGCCTGCGCTCCACAAGAGAATGCAATGAGAAGCCTGCCCACCGCAACAAAGAGTAGCCCCACTCGCCGCAACTAGAGAAAGCCCGTGCACAGCAATGAAGACCCAATGCAGCCAAAAAAATAAAAATAATCTAACCCTCTGGATTATTTATTTATTAGTATTTTTTTGGCCCCACTGCATGGCATGTGGGATCTTAGTTCCCCAGCCAGGGATTGAACCCATGCTCTTTGCAGTGGAAGTGCAGATTCTTAAGCATTGGACTGCCAGGGAAGTCCCCCTCTGGATTATTTTAAAACATAACCTTGACATCATGTAATTTCATCTGTAAATAAAATATCTCTAAGAGGTAAGATTTAAAAAAACATAATCAGTAAAACAAACAAACAAACAAACATAATCAAGGTATCATTGCTATACCTAGAAAAAGTAACAGTAATTCTTTGCTATTATCTAATACCCAGTCAGTGTTAAGTTTTCCCTGATTACCTTTTTTTTTTTTTAATAGTATTTTTTTTTTTCTTGGCTGTATCGTGTGGCTTGTGGGGTTGACCAGGGATTGAACCCAGGCCAGCAGTGAAAGCGCCGAGTCCTAACCACTGGACCGCCAGGAATTCCCTCCCTGATTATATTTTTCAGTTACATTGTTTTGAATTAGAATGTAAACACCCTCTACACATTACATTTGTTTTCTACGCCTGTCTCAAGTCTCCCTTAATATACAATAGTTCTCTTTTTTTGTGCTAGTTGTTTATTGAAAAAAGTAGATCCTTTTCCTTACGTTCAGCATTTGGTTGTTTGCATCCCTGCTCTACCATTAATATGTTCTTCCATCCACTGTATTTTCTGAGAACTGATAGATCTAAAAGCTTACTCAGATCAAGTTTGATTTCCTGGCAAGAATACTTCTTAGGTAATGCTGTTAACTTCCTATTGTGACCCATCAGGAGTAACATAGTATGTGGTCTCTCTCTGTAATAAGATTGACCAGAGAATATTTAAAATTTTTATTTAACCATTTCCTTATTAATAGACTTAGGATACTTCCAGTTTTTTGTTTTGCTTTTTGCTAATTAATGCTATGACAACCATTCTTATACATCTGTCTTTGCATGCTTGCCTAGAATATTTCCTAAAATTCCCAGAAGTCTGGGTCAATGGATATAATCAATAACTTTTTTTTTTTTTTTTTGAGGTACGCGGGCCTCTCACTGCTGCGGCCTCTCCCACTGCGGAGCACAGACTCCGGACGCGCAGGCTCAGCGGCCATGGCTCACGGGCCCAGCCGCTCGGCGGCATGGGGGATCCTCTCGGACCGGGCACGAACCCGCGTCCCGTGCATCGGCAGGCGGACTCTCAACCACTGCGCCACTAGGGAAGCCCAATCAATAACTTTTCAGTGCAATAAATACCAGTTTGATAGGCTAAGCCTTCCTAATAAAGACCACAGGAAATAAAATAAACCAGTAGCCCAGGAACAATAAAGTCAATGCTGACTTTTTCTGCTGACTTGGGCATCCTTCTCATTCTGGCTAGCAGGTCCAGGTCTGCACAGGCAGGCACAGGGCAGATCCTATTGTAAAGCTAGTTTAGGTATGTTAGGCCTTAGCTAGATCTTCTATTTTCTCCTGTTATCAAGGGGGACTGCAGAGAGCTGTCCATGTTATTGGCTAATAAATTCAGGATGGGAAAGCATCCTGAGACTCTGCTGTCTACACTGTGAAAAGATGACCTAGGGTAAAAGTTAAAAATGTTGAGGCAGTTTGACACAGTTAGGAAAAAGCAACCAGAGGTAGGCAGTTTTGGGGATTACTGCCTCAGTCCTGGAAGGAACAGGTTTGTCAGGCAGAAGCAATTAAAGTATGGTTCTGAGCTTTAATTTTTGCGTTTACAAGTCTTCACACTACTATATAAGTACATTTCCTCTTTGTATCATCATAAAAGAAAAAAGTTTTTCTTAAATCTCAAATGTGATTTCATAAAAATTGGTATCTGAAAATTCCTTAGACTACTCCTGTATCAATTTGCTAGGGCTACTGAAACAAATTACCACAAACTTGGTGGTTTTAAAACAACAGAAATTCATTCTCTCACAGTTTTGGAGGCCAGAAATCCAAAATCAAGGTGTCAACAGGGCCACAATCCTTCGCAAGGCTCTAAGGGAGACTCTTTCCTTGACTCTTCCAGCTTCTAGTGGCTCCTGGCATTCTTTGGCTTATAAATGCATCACTCCAATCTCCTCCTGTCTTCAGGTCATCTTCTCTGTGTGTCCCTGTACATCCTTTTCTGTCTCATAAGGACACGCTCATTGGAGTTAGGGCCTAGCCTAACACAGTATGAGCCCATCTTAATCCTTCCCCTAATTACATCTGCAAAGACCTTATTTCCAATTAAAGTCACACTGAGGTTCTTCTGGTAGACTTGAATTTTACGGCGACACTACTCAACCTACAATTCCCAATGTTTTACTGGAAACCGTTAGGAAAATAAGATTCATTTAACAAACCTGCTATATTTACCTGCTTTGAGGACAAACTGCTTGAGGATCACTGCTTAATCTTCTTAGCCTTCCCTGCACCACTAGAATAGTTGTTGTGGATCCAGGAAATCTAACGTCTAATTTGAACTCCTGTCCTCATCGTATAAGATTAAAAAGAAAAATGATGTCCAGAGGGGAAAAGACTTGTTTAAAGTCATGCTCATGAGCAGCAGCAGTAGATCTATAACTGAGCCCATATCCTCCCCTTTCAGTCCACACTTACCTTGCGCAATTGGCATTTGGGGGTGGCATGAATTTCCCTCCTCCAGGGAAGAGCAATAGTATCTTTTTTTTGGGGGGGGGGCATGCCGTGCGGCATGCTGGTTCCCCAACCAGGGATCCAGGGATTGAACCCCTGGGCTCCCTGCACTGGGAGTGCAGAGTCTTAACCACTGGACTGCCAGGAAAGTCTCTCTCTCTTTTTTTTTTTAGTATCTTTAATTAGGTAATATAACATCCCCCTTCCTCAGGAAAAAAGAAAGGGCTAATGGTGGGAACTTAAGCATGGTGATTGGCACAATAATTCTGTGTTTCTAGCAGAAGGGCCTGGGGGCAGAGAGCTGCAGTGGTGGTAGTTAAGGATGTTTCTTGGGCAAGCAACACATTACACGGCCCAAACATACACTCCTCAGGCCAACGTACCCAGCACAGTGTTCTATGTATCAACAAACGGCCTTGACCCTGGAGACAAAAGAAGCTGCATTATTTTTTCCAGTCCTCTGTCCAGGCTGTCACCAGCTAAGTAAAACGTAGCTACTGGTAAGGGAAGTTTATTTTATTTAAGATGGGAGTTGATCATTTGTTTTCTTCCTGTTCTTAGCACTAGGGATGTTAATTACAGCTCTGAATACTGCTTAACAAGAAACGCAGGAAACATGTGACTCTGAGCTCAGTTAATGAGTATTATTATCTTTTAAAAATTCTGATTTCGGCAATTACACACTAATCAAGAGTGTTCACATATGAGGCTCAACCCAGGGGGAGTTTAAGAGGACAGCTCATACCTGTCTTGGAGAGCTGAATCATGAGTTTACAGTCCCATCTTGAGTTCAGTTCACACCTCTGTCTTTAGTGGTAGTTTAGAAACAAATTTCTCACATTTGTTTCTCTAGATTATTCTTTGGAGGAGCTGAAATGAGGGCAGGAGAACCAAGCTAACAAACCCGAACTTTCTTTTGTCTTCATCAGTAATTCCAGAATTAGAAGCCCACGTTTCTACCTTCCCAAAGCTTCCAGCCATTTCAGCACAATAGCATGAAATGAGCTGTGGCTAAAAGCAAGAAACATTGAGTGTTCCTCTTCTCCCCTTTCCTCTCCACATTGTTGTCTCCCAGACACCAGCCAACTGAAAAGGAAGGAAAAAAACACTTGGGTCATAGGATCTTACAAGATTGACCCCCCCCCCAATCCTAAGCCATGGGTCTTGACACCCTGCTTACTTTTCCTGGGTACCTGCTCTAGGAAATGTATGGGATCAGAGGGCCCTGGACTGGCAATCTTTAGCTTTATTAGGAACACTAATAAATTTAATAGAAAATTAATAGTTAATTAAAAAAAATTTATTTGACTGCATTGGGTCTTCGTTGCTGCATGCGGGCTTTCTCTAGTCGTGGTGAGCGGGGGCTACTCTTCCTTGTGGTGTGCGGGCTTCTCGTTGCGGTAGCTTCTCCTGCTGCGGAGCACGGGCTCTAGGCACGCGGGCTTCAGTAGCTGTGGCACGTGGGCTCTAGAGCGCAGGCTCAGTAGTTATGGCACACGGGCTTAGTTGCTCCACGGCATGTGGGATCTTCCCAGACCACGGCTCGAACCTGTGTCCCCTGCATTGGCAGGCGGATTCCTAACCACTGCAGGACCAGGGAAGCCCTAGTTAATCAATTTAATGGACCAGATTAATACTAATCAACTTCGGAAGTGGCAGGCATGAGGGAACCTGGGGCATAAATGAGGTTCCAAAGACTTCTGCAAAAGGACCCAAAGGATGATGGGAGGAGCCAGCAGCCCATGTGGAATGAGGCATGCACCTGAGAACAAGGAAGTTCTTTCATGGCCTGGGAGTAAGGACTGCTGGCAGGAAAGGGAGGGACCACATAAAGTCCACAAAGCCCTTCTGTGATACACACTTTGCTGCAAAGTTTGGTTGGAAAGTGAGAGCAGGGCCAAGATTCCACAGAGGCCAGAGGTCCAGGCCAGGCCCTTCCCACATCCTGTGTCGCCTTTCTCTGAGCATGTTCCATGCACATGAGTCCCATGGTAACCCCAAACCTCAGGCTGTGAGAAGCATGTGTTTTAATCTGCATTTCCCAAAAATAATTTGACCATGGAGCATTTTGCAAACACCAATTACTGTTCCATGGACTGGGGATTCTGAAAATCTCATTTTGGGAAAGGCCAATTCCAGTCCTTTTCCAAATGTAACTCTTCTCCTCTACAGCCCTCTGAAGCCCTCTCACTTGCTTCAACTCATTCACCTCCCCCTTCCTGTTTTGCAGCCTTTGATCATATAGGTAGGTGCCTGTATGAGTCATGTTCTGAATCAGTCTCTAAGGGCAGCTGTATTCAGCTTGCCTGGCTCTGTGGCCCAGCCCTGATGGGTCTCCCAGAGATGACTGAGGAGAGTGGTAGGGTTCAGCAGTCTGCCTTTCTCTCAGCTACAGCCCCAAACAGCTTCCGGGAAGAGCATCACTCACTATGGACACTGCATCCTCTCTTAGAGCTAGGACCTATGGTTCCAACTTCAAAAAAATGATACTGTTCCCAGGGCACTATCATAGTCATTCTCAGGGCCCCTCCACTGAAGCAGACAGGGCCTATCACCAACCCTGGTTTATGTTAGAGGAGCTGGTCACATTGCTCACATCCACAGTGATTCAGAGCAAGGACTAGCACGCTCCCTCATCTTCAGTCTGTTTTTCTCTCCAAGTACCACATGACTTCCCCCGGGCATACCCACTCTCAACTGGACTCCAGAGCAACTGATCTTGGGCCAGGGCTGGGGACAAGGAGCAAAAGCAGGTCTTAGTGTTTGTGTGTTTGCCCTTGACCTGCCTTTACCCTAGAGGGAACTCCTGTGTTCTTCTGCTCCAAGCAATCCAACCACCCCAAGCTGACCTTCCAACCAGTCATTTGGGGCCTTTTTCCTGCTGTCTCTTGGCTATACATACTCAAACTTTGCATTGGAATAAGATTTATTTATTTTTTTTACTTGGCAAAAAGTCAAGTGCTACATTTTTAAAAACAAAATCTCAAACAATCAAATGCATTACCCATCACAGAAGAGGGTCTGGCAACAGTACAAAACATCCTACTTAAGATTTTTTTTTTATACAAGTAGGTTTAAAATGAGTTCTGTGAGAACTAAGAAATCTACAGCTTGTAGTTTAATAATAGAAAAAAATTAAGACAATTAAAAGATCTGTAGCATCCAGCAATTTGCTTAATTCCCTGTTTTATAGCACCTATTTCTCTAGGTTAGAAGATGAGAATTCTAGAACCTGTGGTGTATGCCTTGTACCACAGCAAGATAGGGTGGACCTGCTGTCTCCCCTCCCCACCAGCCCCCATCACCAAGGAGAAGACACTCTTTTTTTTTCAATCTCCCCACTTACTCCCAGAGCAGAGGGGGATAACTGGGAAAGCAACTTAGAAATCAGAGTGCAGGAATATGACTTCCTTTCCCCAGAATGGGCTGCTGACAGAAGCAGAGTATGTGTTTAGAATGGTGGAGGAGTTTGTGGGTGGGAACAGCTATTATCTGCAACATGTTGCATAAAAAGCAAGGAGTAACTAGACATCACGGTCATTTGCCTGCAAGTTTAAAAACCTCAGACTAAACAGACAGCTCGATGGAGGAACAAATTACTAATCACATAGATGCTTTACATGCACACCACTGTTGGCTGTAGGCCACCTCATCGCCATCCCAGGGCTGAGCCAACAGAGTGGCTCCACTGTACTAAGAAAAACAAACATTACACACAGGAAGCACTCACTACACACAGATAAATCCCCTGTTCATCCCCACCCTCCAGAACTGAACCCAATTTAGAAAACAAAAGCAAAATCCACTGGGGAGATTAGAAGAAGGGCAAAGAAGTTTCTCCCCAAAGCCAAGGGGACCGAGTATGTGAATTTTAGCAGACTTGAGGCCCCCAGCTCCAGGCCCCTGAGAAACCAGATCAGGTCTTATTTGAGAGGAGGGAGAGGGAGGTTTGGATGTAGATTCTTTTTACGAAGTCCTACCAAGGCTTCTGTAGCCTCCAGAGTTGCATCTTGGATGGAGACCCTGATGTTTTGGGGGGAGTGGCCATTGATTTAACCAGATGGGAAACTGAAGTGGAAGTGACACATACACAGAAATGTTCTCACCTGGGGGACACACAGATGGGAAGGCAGGTGGGAGATGGATTACTTTGGAGTCCTGGCATGAGTCCCCAGGAAGCTTTCAATCTAACTCAAAGGGTTTCCTACTGGTGATTTGTTTTCCTTTCTATTTTTACTTCCTATAATCAGTGTTGTTAGACTTTACAAAACAAGATAAAAACTAGTCCCAAAGCTGGACTCTGTGAATATAGTTGTTTCTTTTATAAATATTTTAATTACAGTAATCCTCACTCCAGATAATTTCAGTGACAAACGGTACTCGCAGGCACACAAGTTCTCACACACACACACACACACACACACACACACACACACACACAGAGCCCCCAAACTTTCACAGAAAGTCTGACAGCAACCATATAATTATAAAGGAGCCCCACCTCTCAAGAGTGAAGTAAGGGTGAGAATGACTATGTCAACCTAATGAAGCCAGAGGGGAGACTGTGTGTCACTTAAAGAAAAAATATAAACAGGAATTAACAATGTCTGATTGAGAAGCCAGAAAGAAAAAAGATAGTAAAGTAAAATTCTGCTTACCAAAAGGGAAAAAAGGAAAAAAAAAAGAGAAAACCCTTTATATTTCTGTACAGAGGTTCTTCCTGTCAAGTGCCTAAACCATAGGCAAACTCGGCGTTCCCACTAAAATATGAGGGACTCACACCACTGGAAAAAAATCAAAATAAGAAATGGAAACTGAGGATGGAAGTTAGTGAATTTCTGTGCATTCTGGGAGAGACTTAGTTGCCGTTAACTCCAGAGCCCAGCGTAGTTTCCATGGAGTCCTGAAGGGAGGGGTCCTCCTGCCACGAAGAGCTTCGTTCCAGACGAGTCGTAGCAGTGTGTGTAGACAGCGTTGGGGAAGGAATCAGTGTCCGAAAAGTAACTCCTCCAGGTTTCGTCATGATTCTGTGGGAAATAAGAGACTCTGAGCACTCGCCGTGGGGCAGAAAAGGGAAAGAAGGGACAAGAATGCTTTCTGGGCTCCTTAAGAGGAGAGGGTCCTATATCTATACAGGAGACTGGTGCTCAGGGGAGCTGGAGCCCCATTTTTCCAAATGAACATTAGGGAGGAGCCAAGCAGGCTGAAGAATTGCTACACAAACCGAAGGTCTTCTCAGGACTGCTGGAACCAAATGCTTTCATAATTCACTGGCAGCCTCAGTGGGAGGTTCCTCTCCTTCCAGCTCTATTATCACCTGGGGGTTATTCTGGGCCAACCGGTGTGTCTTACTGGGCCTGTTTTCCCACAGACATGCAGACACAAAAACAAAGCAAAGGGAAAGTGCCTTTCTCTGCTCCAAGGAGTGTCTCTTACTAGTGAAAAACTATGTGGTAGGTGGTGTGTCAGTGGGGGTGGGAGTGGGTGGGTAGAGTGAATACAACTTTTCCGTCACTGTCCAGTAACCATGTGAGGCATGGGCTTACTCACCAGCCAGCCTCTGCCAGTCGTTAGTTTCAGATTCTCCCCTGCTAGTCTGGGCTTGGACCCATAACAAGCTGAGAGCCTCTCTTCCAGGAACCTCTGAGCTCGGATGTCATAGAATAACAGGGAGCCCTGCCCTGTGCCCACAGTGATGATGTGCTCATAGAAGCTCACTGACCGGATACCTGAGAGAGAGAAAAGTAAAGGGCAATCAGGTCTGCTAGCCGGAACTTCTCTGACACTGAGTTCAAATGGCACCCCTAAATACCACAGCGCCTTTCCCAAGGCAGACCTAGCTCACGCACAAGCCAGAGAACCCCGATGCCACACTGCCCATCCACACACTAACAGGAACCTTCCCATAAGCCTCAGAAGTACCAAATGCCTGATGATGCCCAAGATGCTTTGGGCCCAAGACCGTAAGTATGCCCTGAACCTGCTTGCCTCCCCTCGACTCACTCTCAAGTCACCTTTCATAACTCTAAGTTCTTCTCCATTATATGTTTCCAACCCGTACTGAAACTGAGGGTAATCTGCATATTTACAAATCATTACATTAACAAGGACTTTCTTGTATTTGACCTAAAACCACTACCATGGCACTGCAAGAGGTCTTTATCTGGTATTAAGTGTGTTATGAGAGTGGCAAACAGCCTAGAACTGAAGCACTCAAAGGTGCACTGTCTTTCACTGTGAATTTAAGACAAGTCACCTGATCACTTTGGGTCACAGGGAAAATACATCTGCTGCATCTGTGGATCAGA